GAAAGGAAAGGAAGAAAGGACTATAAACAGAAAATTTTGCTTCAATGAATTTTAAAAGTGATAAACTGATTTTTCCTTGGCTTTTACTTGTATGATATGTTTTTTCTTTTCTACCTAATGCTGGTTAGCATTATTCAGCCTAATGAAAAGTAATCTAATGCAAATAGCCATAACCAACGCTTCATGACCATACAGAGTCCATTTTACTTACAGATCAGGTGACGTTCTTCAGAATATGGTAGGTTTCCTCCCAGGTTTCAGAAGACATCACTAGCCGTGGCATCTAGTGGCAATGTTAGTAAGCCAGAAGACTTCTTTACCCCAGGTACTAAGAATGACCTCTCCTCAGATTATACCAACAACCAAAGTCTGGTCTATAACCTACAATTTGCTTGTCAATTTCCTTTGGCTTGATGCCATGGTTTGCTATTAGTTCTGCAATGCAGTTTAATGCTACCTTTCTTTATCTCTTGACATTTCCTCTAGTCTCTCTGTTTTCATTCAAGCCAAATGTCAGCCTCATAGAAGTACTGCTGGAATTAAATGAAATAATAGAACTGAACTGAAGGCCCTCTATTTCTTTAAATGTGCAAATTAAGTGCCTTAAAAACAGAGGTCACAAAGATGATTATCAAAGAGCTCACGATCCATTGGCAGGAATGGACATAATACAAACAAGTATCAGTCCCAGCAGAACTTAACCAAGAGTAAAATATTCATTTTCATAAAGGAAGGAAATTTTGCTATGACTGGCATCCTGGTCAGGAGAGAGGCAAGAAGTTACCAAAGAAAAATGAGCAGATAGAGCACCGTGTATGTTAGAAGGGAATATGTTTTAATGAAAACTTAGAATAGGAAATGAGATTGGGACCATATCATGACACACTTTTATTGCCCAACTGAGGAATTGTGGTATTATCTGAGTAGGCCTGGAAGGCCAATAAAGAGGTTTGCATGGAGTGAAGTAGGGCCAAAGGTAATCCACTCCCACGGTACACTGATGAATATGTTTGCTTAGTCATTATTACTAAGGAAGAAAGGAAGGAGGGAAAGAAGAAAGTAAGAAGGGTTAGAATCCCAAACTGTGAGTCCTGATTCCCATAATGTCAAACTAGATTCAAGAATGGAAAACATTACAAGTGGATGTCTACCTTATTGGAGCGTCCCAAATTCGAATCTGGCCTCCCATCCTGGTAAAGTAGCTTTAACCATATGTAGCTGGGATGGCGGGATTCTGTTTGTTCCTTAACAAAAGGCCTACAGACAGACACAGCTGTGAGCTTCTAAACCACCTTCCCCCAACCCACAGTCAGGTCTCCAACCTCTGGGTGTAAACCCTCTGACTCAAAAAAGAGGCACAAAAAAGAGAATGCTTTCCCAAGAGCCTAATGAAGAACCTTCATCAATTAAGAATTCGGTGTATGTGTCCTGTGCCCAACAGACTCTCAAGAGTATGGATATGGTCTTATGCATCCCACTACCCCGAGGGAAGAGAAGAGAGGAAAAGATAAGAGATTAATAGTAACACACACACACAGAAAAATGGGTGAACAACGACTCCATTCCCTAAGGCAAGATTCCCCTTCCTTTTCTGAATCCTGAATGCCTTTATAGGATTATTTCTTTTAAGTTTATTTATTTATTTTGAGAAAGAGAGAGAGAGCACAGGTGTTCACAAGGGAGGGGCAGAGAGAGGGAGAGACAGAATTCTAAGCAGGCTCCACACTGTCAGTTCAGAGCCTGCCATGGGTCTCAAACTTATGAACTGTAAGATCACGACCTGAGCCAAGATCAAGAATTGGACACTTAACCAACAAAGGCACCAGGATTATTTAATCTCTTCAACACCCTTGGAGAAAATTCAAATAATTTTTATCCCATTTAATAAAAGTAATATATTTTCATTTTAGGTTATTAAGTTACTAAATAGTGTGCTATGTCATTTATTTCATAGGCTATCTAAAGACTTATTTTATATAAAGAATTTTTGTTTTTTACCTTTAACAAGAAATTCATGTTATTTAAGTAAATCTAACTTATGTAATAAAAATCATGCTATCCTTGACTAACACAATTTAAGAGTAGCATGTTTTGTTTAAGTACATTAAAGTGTAGACAAAAATTAAACTACACTTGGATGCTCTACTATAAATGAAAAGTTGACTAGCGGGGCTCCTAGGTGGCTCCACCAGCTGAGCATCCAACTCCAGTTCAGCTCATGATTTCATGGTTTGTGGGTTCATGCTCCTCATTGGGCTCTATGCTGACAGCTCAGAGCTTGGAGCCTGCTTCAAATTCTGTGTCTCCCTCCTTCTCCACCTCCCCCCTGTTCATGCTCTGTCTCTCAAAGATAAATAAACATTGGAAAAAAATGTTTTAAGAAAAAAAGAAAAGTTGACTAGAAAATAATATTTTCTCTTTTTAATATTAATTTTTGAAAAACTACATTCATTTTGGTTCCAACAAGAATTTGACCAGATGCACACAGTACACACAACACAATGTCTACGCTCCTCCTTCAACTTGTTGTATTTCCATTTCTTCTCCTTAAACAACAGTCCACTATAGGTGTAATTAAATAAAATTGTTTAAAAACTGAAATACACACACACACACACACACACACACACACACACACACACACAAGAGACTATGTTTAACCTTGACAGCAATTAGCAATATTGAGTTGAGATAAATCCCCTGAGTAACTGAGGCATGAGAACAATCATCTTATCTCTACCACTTCACTCAATTAAATTAAATTAGAGATGCCTTTACAACCTAGAACACTGGCTCCCAAGTGTGTCCCTCCACTGGTAGCACCTATATCCCCTGTGAACTTGATAAAATGCAAATTTTATCTGACTCTGAATCAGGGACTCCAAGGATGAGGCCCAGCAGTCAGTAGGCCTCCGGATACATGCAAAAGTCTAACACTGACCCAGACCAAGTTGAAAGACCAAATGCTCTCATGAGGGATCCTTTGGGAAAATCTGCCCCAAAGGAATCAGAAGGGCAAACCTCTCAGGCAGGCAGGCAGATCACAGAAGCCCACACAAAACACACCATCTGATTCCATTTGCATTATTAATATGGCAGAAATATTGTAGGGGTATAGGTGCTTTCTTCATAAAGAGAAGAACTGAAAGAAAATGGTTCAGTCTCACATTTATGGGTTTTTTTTTAATTTTTAGAGTTATTTTTGAGAGAGAGAGAGAGAGAGTGTGTGTGTGTGTGTGTGTGTGGTGGAAGGGCAGAGAGAGGAAGACACAAAATCTGAAACAGGTTCCAGGCTCTGAGCTTTCAGCACAGAGCCTGATGCAGGGCTCGAACTCGCAATCCATGAGATCATGACCTGAGCCAAAGTCACGTGGTCAAACAACTGAGCCATCCGGGTGCATTCGTGGCATATTTTTAAAGAAAATATCAGCTTTGGATTTTGCCAGGCCAGAATTGAAATGAGGAGAAAGGGCAGGGGAAGATTTCTCACATCCTGGAAGGAGATCACAGCCTGCAGGGCTCCTGTGAGGAGTGGGATCCATGCGTTGTTCAGTGTTAGTGTGAGCAGAAGGTGGTGAGATCCAGGTTAATCAGAGAGGGAGGGGTCTGTATGGCTCATAGGATTGGGAAGCAAATACAGGGGCTCCTGTACGTGATGGAGATTCCCAACCCAAAAGCAAAGAAGCAAAACATCCTAACCAGAAACGTACATCCAGACTAAGAGAATGGGTGTCTTTAAAAGAATGTTCCCTAGTTGGCCAGTGATGGGCAGAAAATATGCAGTACTGCTGTGTACGACCCTGGGCCTTTGTGGCACACCTGGGTGGCTCAGTTGGTTAAGCATCCGACTCAGGATTTCAGCTCAGGCCATGATCGAGGTGCATGGGTTCAAGCCACACGTCAGGCTCTACAATGCCTGTCCAGTGCAGAGCCTACTTAAGACTCCCTCTTTCCCTCTCTCTGCCCCTTCCCCACTCACTCCTGCTCCCTCTTTCTCAAAATACGTAAGTAAACTTAAAAAAAAAAAAATCTCAAAGACCCTAGGGACTTGCACAACACAGGAAGGAGAGAGAGTCCTAAATCAAACTAAATTTCCTGTCTGCCCCAGAAGAAGGCTTGGAGATGGATTGTAGTTGGCTTAAAGCAATTCTAAAAATGTGATATTTCTTGTACATCTAACTTTGTCAACTGATAATGATACCCTCTATTATGTTTAGTATTAACAGCCACTTTACCTTCAGACTTACACAGATCTATTTGGTTAATGAAAGGAAAGGCACTGTCACATACAAAATGGGAGGGGGCCAGCAAGCTCTTGCATCCTAAGGAAGGACAGTGACAGTGTGGGCCTCGACTGAAAATCTACAAAATACTTACGCATGTGGGTTTTAGCAAATGTAAGGTAGTGACTCTTCAAATCCCATTTGAGTCTACATTTGTAAAACAAGATTCTGGGACTTAGTCCTTCTTACAACTAAATTATTTCTATTTTCTTATAAAATGATTTGTATACAAGGGCACTGAGGTGGCTCAGTGGTTAAGCACCCTTGATTTTGGCTCAGGTCATGATCCCAGGGTGGTGGGATCAGGCACCAAGTCTGGCTCCATGCTGAATGTGAAGCCTGCTTAAGATTCTGTCTCTCTCTCTCTCTCTCCCTCTCTACCCCTCTCCCCTGCTCACACTTGCTCTCTCTCTAAATAAAAAATATATACAAACAAACAAATATTTGTATACAATTTGTATACAAAAATATTCATTGAATTAGGTCCTTTCATGATATGTAAATGTGACTGCAAAGACCATTATGAAATCAGCAGGCCCTTCCTTTTCCATTAGAGTCCCAGACCACTGGGCCTCAGGTGAGAAACATGTCCACTGTAACAACATCAGAAGTAGTCATAAGCTCTCTGAGCACATGCCTGATAAATTACAATATCCATATTATTGTGTAAGAGAGAAAATAGAAACATCCCAACATAAAAAGGGTATAGATTCTGACCTTCATGCTCAATCAGATGACATCAGTGGGAATGGTGGTCGATATCCTTGGAAACATGGTAAAGTTCTAGAAACATAGGCTGTTTGAACAAGTTGGCCATTTGAAGTTCTTCAGGAATTGCTGAATTGTTTCAAATCTAAAATTACGATTTAAGAAAGTACATTTCAGTACTGGCAAATTAGAATTAAGTAAACTAGTCAATTCAATATAATTTCCTATTAGCTCACTCACAATTTGAGATATATTTTCTGAGGCAGTTATGTTGTGACACCGCATTTACATGCATTTTAAAATTCTTGCTGGCGACTAAAGGAATGATTCAGGTCAATTCTGCTTTCTTAATCTCTGGGGCAAAGCAAAATACTCACTGTATATAAAAGGCATAATCTCTACCCTCCCAAAAGAGAGAAATTGTTTCTTCCATGTTATAGGCCTATGAAGTTTTTTCCCACTGAGATTTTGACAGCCCCACATTTAACACAACAGGTCAAGGCATAGAGCAGATTATGACTGCTGTTTTTGATATTTATTGTATCCTAGAGTTTGCCAGCTGATGAAAGGAGCCCAAACAAGGAGAAATGTGTAAAAACATAAAGGGTTCATAGGGCACCTGGGTGGTTCAGTCAGTTAAGCGTCCTACTCTTGATTTCAGCTCAGGTCATGATCTAGTGATTTGTGAGTTCAAGTCCCACATCTGTACTGCCAGCACAGAGCCTGCTTGGAATCTTCTCTCTCTCCCTCTCTCTCTGCCCTGCCCCCACCTCTCTCTCTCTCTCAAAATAAATAAATGAACTCTAAACAAAAGAGAAAAAAATTAAAAACAAAACAAGACATAAAAGGTTCAAAAGAGAAATCATAGCTTGTTAGTTAAGAGTATGGGACTCTGGGGACGCCTGGGTGGCTCAGTCAGTTGAACATCCATCTGATTTTGGCTCAGGTCAGGATTCCAGAATCGTGAAATGGAGCCCCATATCTGACTTCTCACTGAGTGTGGAGCCTGCTTAAGATTCTCCCTCTCTTTCTCCCTCAGCTTCTGCTTGTCTCTCTTTCTCTCTCTCTCTCTCTAAAAGAAAAAAAAGAAAAAAAAGAAATAAGAGTATGAGAATCTGGGGCCAACTGCCTGTTTGGACTCTAATCTTCCTCTAAGCTTCCTAGCTATGTAACTTTAGGCATGGTTCTTCACCCCTCCATGGATTAGCTTTCTTATCTGTAAAATAGCCATAGTAACACTGCCAACTTCAATGGGGGGCAGGGAGTATGAAGTCAATTAACATTTGTAAATGCTAGAACAATACCTGCCCGTATACACAGTATATACATATATGTGTGTGTGTGTATATATATATATATATATATATATGTATATGTATATGATAGACATGGTATATAAGGAGGTAGGGTTAGGGTATCTTCAAATCTTTACTTCTTTACAACTGATATATTTAATTTATAAGAAAATGGGAAAACCTACCTAGTAAATGATATCTTATATTTATGTCAGGGTCCAAGAGTTCATACTGATTTATAACATTCGTCTAAGGGTTCTAGTACGGGTAAGATTTCTCTATACGAGATTTAACTGTTAGGTGTGGTAGCTTGTTCCTACTCTTGGTATTTTCGAAGTCTGAAGTGAGAGTAGCTTTAACTTGCCTTTTCGGAAAACTCTAATAGGCCAAGTTTCTGAAATGAAAGTTTTATTCCAGATTTATTGATTGGTCACAAAGTTTTACATAACAATGTTTAGGACTTTGAGGATGGGCGAGGGGAGAGTGGTATAAAACATAGTACCAGAAGCCAAATTAAGAAGAGAGCAGACATAAAGTTAAAAACAGTATTTTTTAAAAACATTTTTAATGTTTATTTATTTTTGAGAGAGAGGACAAAGTGAGAGCAGGGGGAGGGCAAAGAGAGACAGACACAGATTCTGAAGCAGGCTCCAGGCTCTGAGCCATCGGCACAGAGCCCCATGCTGGGCTTGAACCCACAAACTGCGAGATCATAACCTGAGCTGAAGTCTTAACCAGTTGAGCCAGTCAGGCACCCCAAAAACAATTTTAAAGAATCCAGTTCAACTAACACTTAGGATCTGATGATATGCTCGTACTTTCACATTTGTTATCATTTTCTACATTATTTACTAACATCCGCATTTTATTTCTTAGAAAGGCTATAAAGCGTCAGAGAGGTAAAATGGCCAAAGTTGATACATTGTGGAATCCTCTTTTGGAACCAAGTTTATGTAACTTCAATCCAGGGTTCTTCCCATTCTGCCAAAGCTGCCAAGAAAAACCATCCAATCTAAAGACAAGATGTGACTTAGTACTTCAAAGGAAAGGGGACCAAGCTGGATAAAAACAGACAACAAATTCACAGGAAGTGGCTGAAAAGTGGTTAGAATTTGGAGAGGTAAATGGGAAGAGAAAGGCCACAATGGAAAGTTGAGTAGAAGCAAGAAGGCTTTGCCAGACTAACCAGCAAGGAGACAGGAATAGTGATAAAGATGATTCCATAATGACAATGAAGGGAAATATCAGGCAGCAAAGCTGACACCTGATGTCGGGAGCTCAGTCAGGCTATTCAGCAGAGACATGGGTATGTCACAAACATGTGTTTTAACTGGGGCACCCGGGTGGCTCATTTGGTTGAGTGTCTGACTCCTGATTTTGTCTCAGGTCATGATCGCAGGGTCATGGAATTGAGCCCTGAGTGGAGCCTGCTTAAGATTCTCTCTCTCTCTCTCTCTTTCTCTCTCTCTCTCTCTCTCTCTCATTCTCTCTCCTTCTGCCCCTCCCTCAATGCAAGTGTGCTCTCTTGCTTGGTCTCTAAAATTAAAAACTAAAATAAAATAACATAACATAACATAAAATTAAATTAAATAAATAAAACAAAAACATGCATTTAGCAGCAGAACTAGAGAAAGGGAAGAAAAGTGGCCAGGACACCTGTTAGAAGACTGCCTAGTTTGGGCAAGGTGTGATAGGTATCCACGATTGTCTGAAGACTATGGGATAAAAAGGACAAGACATCACAGCACGTGCCCTAAAGGCAAAATTTTAAGGACTTAATAAGTATGAAGAATGAAGGAGAGCAAGAAGTTAGAAATGCCCTCAGGGCCTTGAACCTGGAGAACTTCAACAATGGGCATACTGTTGCTAATCACAGGAGCATTGAGCAAGGGAAGAAGAGAGGCTCCCGGGTCTGGAAAAGACACAGGCAAAACCCTTGATTTGCAAAGAAAGAAACACCACCAACAGGAGACACTGGGAAACCAAACTGAGTTTAATTCTAAGTTTGTTGAGCTGCACGTGACACCGGGACACATCGAAACCAATGCGCTGTGCAAACTCACCCAGTAGGACGAAAACTCAGATACGCAGTCAGTATGAAAATATAAATGCGAGAGTTATCAACACAAAGAAAACTGTAGAAAGGGAGTTGCTGGACTAAGTTGCCTAAATGACCACTGAGATGTTCTACTGCATTCCTGAGTCACCAAAAGGAATTTTAGCTGGTGTATCTCATGTTCTTCTAGGACTTAGGGAACACTACAAAATGTTCAACATCTCACTTCTGGGGAGCAGGCAGGATGTGAGGGGCATTCTCATCATCCATGCATTTGCTTTTCATTTTTTAAGAAGAGTAGCCTCTATTTCACTGTTGAAACCCCTGAAAAAGGAACACATGAGAGAATTTAAATGTGCTAAGAAATTTGAAATGCTAAAAATGGCACTTTAGCATTGGCTGTGTAAGAATTTCAATGTTCCTGCCAGCTCAGATACAGGCAATTTTATCTTTAATTACCAAAATAAATGTAATTTAAAATTTTTCTTGCATACCTAAAGTCAGAAAATAAAGTGCTCTTTTAAGTATAATAAAATGTCTTGATCTAATTGGACAAATTACAGCCCCACAAAACCTTCAGCGTTGTAGGAGGGCAGCAAAGAGATCTAGCCCAACTCCCTTGGACGACAGACCAGGAGGTATTCGCTAAGCCACTGTTGGATGACAGCTGGGCTACATGATTACTTATACATACATCTTGTCAACAGTCCTCAAACATCACCCAAGAACCTTATTCAGTCTGCAAAGTGACCAGATTCGGTATCTCAGACTGTCATAGACCGCAGCAGTGTCCAATTCTAACATTAACCTAACTTAGGACAAAAACCAAGTCTTGGAAAATTTTGTTCCATTGGAAAAGTTTGCTCTAGAAAATGCAGATCTGTTCTCTGAAGCCCACAGGAGAATCATCAGAGGTGGTCAGAGCTACTGAACCACAGGGAGTAGTGGTCCTCCCTCACATCTGGTACGGATTTATCATGATGAAGAAAAAAAAAAAAAGAAATCATTTAAATTAGACATGTGGATTTGTGCCTTGACCTTGTTAAGTGAAAAGTAGGTGTCACCCCCATGAATTTCTATGAAATTGGTAGTAAATGTGTAAAAGTCAAGGCCCCCCTATAGCATATTAAGAAGCCATGTGTTTGAAAGGGTACAGACACCAAATGCTAGTACATTCATGTGTGGAATATATGGATACAACTTAGGTAATTTATTACAGATTTGAACTTGGTGCTTCATTTTTTTTGATATAGCAAAAATATGCGGAAAAGGTAGAAGATAGTGAGGGTACAATTAAAGGAGAACTCACCAGATCTCCTAGTTCTAGATGACCACCGGGACTAGACATTATCAAATATGAATGTAGCATAAAGGAGATGAGATTGTTAAGAACAAATGCTTTTCTTAAGAAGAGTTTGCCATGAAATTTGAGAAGTTCTGTGATTATTCTTTTTTATCGATGAAAGAGTACTTTATGTCATTCAAGCTTTAAAAGTTCAAATTAAACCGCTGCACTTTTAAAATAGGGTTTCTTGGGGCACCTGGGAGGCTCAGTCAGTTAAGCATCCAATTCTGGATTTCAGCTCAGGTCATGAGCTCGTGGTGCATGAGTTCCATCCCCAAGTCAGGCTCTGTACTGACAGTGCAGAGCATGCTGGGGATTCTCGATTCTCTCTCTCTCTCTCTCTCTCCCTCTCCCTCTCAAAAATAAACTTAAAACAAAATTTTTGATAGAGTTTCTTATCACCTTCTTTAGCTCAGTAA